GAGGCAGGCATTAGCACGGCAAGAACGCAGAGCTCGTAGCTCAGGTGGGAAACCACAGCCCACCGGCAGGGTGGTGGGTGTCATCAGACGTAATTGGCGTAGCTACGTCTGCACGCTGGTGAGTTTCTAAGAGTTCGTACTCGCTCGTATCTCAAAAGCTGATTTGATTTGGCGTGCTCCATCATAGGATGCTCGCACGCTACCACCTTCCGCATTTTCGTCCACAGGGGCCACAAGCCTACTGGCTCTACCAGTCTCGTCGCGTATCCCGCGAATACGCATTCGAACCCGACAAGTCTCGTCTTTGATCGACCAAAAAGTGCTCGTGGCCCTTGACGATTGGCGCATAAGCTCACGATATCCAGACGGACACTTTGTTAGAGCATTGGGCCGCACAGAGAGCAACGAGGCGGAACAAGAATCGCTACTGCTCGAGCACGATGTGCCTTATCGACCATTCTCCACTGCGGTCCTCGATTGCTTGCCAAGCGAAGGAGATAGCTGGAAGGTCTCTCCAAAAGAGCAGGCAGGCCCGGCTTGGAGAGACCGTGTCGACCTAAGAGCTGAGCAGATCTGTTCCATAGATCCACCAGGTGAGTCATCATGGCTCTTGACCCCCTTACTCGCCAATCAGCATTAACAAGAGTCCTCGTCGTATGTGTCGTACGCTCAGGCTGTCAAGATATCGATGACGCGCTGCATGCAAAGATCCTGCCGAACGGCAACGTCGAAGCGGGCGTCCACATCGCAGACGTCAGTTACTTCGTGCGGTCCGAAACGCCGATGGACTCCGAAGCTGCATCTCGAGGCACTACTGTTTACTTGGTTGACAAGAGGATAGATATGCTGCCACACCTGCTCGGCACAAATTTGTGCAGCTTGCGGCCACATGTGGAGCGTCTAGCTTTCTCGGCGATCTGGGAACTGAATCCCAAGACTGCAGACATTGTCAGTGTCAGATTCCACAAAAGCGTCATCGCCAGCAAGGAGGCTTTCACCTACGAGGAGGCTCAATTGCGCAAAGATGACCCCAGGAAGAAGGATGCTATCACGCAGAGCATCAGGCTGCTCAACGATCTCGCCATAAAGCTGAAAGGCAAACGCATGCAGGCTGGTGCTCTCAATCTAGCCAGTCCAGAGGTCAGGATTCATCTGGACAGCGCAGAGTCCACTGCTCCCATCGACGTGGAGCAGAAAGAGATGCGAGAGACGAATAGTCTGGGTGAGTGGCGCGTGTGCAAGATAGCCCTAAGAATGCTTCCTGACCTGGCCTCCTTGATGTCTGGGCGCATGCAGTCGAAGAATTCATGCTGCTTGCGAATGTCTCTGTTGCTGCC